GTCGCAGAGCACATGTGACTTTTAAGGAAGACTACGAATTTTCCCACATCCCATTCTGTGGTGGGATTTTTGATGAAGAAAAATTGAATTTGCCATACCAAGCGTTTGCATTACTTAATTTTCGCTTACAAGTGGGCCTACCTATTAAGTAAAAATAGGTAATGTAGCAAATAAAAGATTAATTCATAGACAATCTCACCACAGAACGTGAAAATTTCACATGGTGAAGTGGTTCACATGACGAAATTATTCGCTGCACTGTCATAGTTTGAATCCCGCTGGGAGTGCTGGTGAGACCAGTTCAGGCCGGGTCGAAACTTTTGGGAAAGCAGTAATTTGTGATTATGAGAAAATTCGAATACATTAAACGAAATAGGATAAATACACCTCATATGTCTACCATGTGAAACGCTAGCAGTCGCGGCATGGCGGTGCAGTGGTACCGAAGCGAGGTGTAGATTGTGGTCCAACCTTTAGACGAATACACGTTGAGAGGCAGCTCTTCTTCAAGATCCCCCGACAGTATTGAAACCTACTCATTATTGGCACACTCCAGATCCGCATGTGAAAACAGAATTCCGTCATGTGTTAAGCCTAGATCGGTCAGCCTCCCTCCCTTCGCTTCGACGCACTGAAGGGAGTATGGCAAGAGTGACCTATCACTTTTGTTGGGGCCGGATAAGACGAGGTCAGTCGGGCAGTCTCGACTGTTCACGGAGAGGAAGATGCGCTTGAACGGTGACAAGATGGTATCTCGCCCTTTGTCTTGTTCCTTTCGGCCGGCCGAACAAGCCGACGCCTGGGGCTAGACGAGACGAGGTGAGGAGGACCAAGCCTTAGTGTCTGATTTTCACCCTTCCACACCGGCCATGCAATCCTGGCTGGGATTCACATGCTGCCCACCTCGAAGGTGGCTTTGCAGTTCTGATGCATATCATGCCATGGCTGGGCTTTTCATTTCGGACAGACAGAACGTATTAATCATGTCTGCCCGGGAATCGCTAACCTGCCCTCAGTGTCGGCACAAGAGGCGAGTCATAAAGCCAGCCTCTTGGACAACACCCTTTGGACGGAATCTGTGCCAGCTGCAGCGGTATCCTCCTTCGGGGTGTGGGTCAACACGACTCCAGCCTCCTCGAGGCAGCCTCGTCCGGGCTCATTCAGTCTGTCTGCATTCTTTATAGCCGCTTTCGCCCTTTTTCTCCCGTCGCCCTCATGCCAACCCGTCAGTACATCAGAGGATAACTGCCCTCATCGCCTTTTAATTGTATTCGGCCATTCAAGGATTTCTGTATGCTCCACGTCAGGCCAGACAGAGAACAAACATAGTCTACATTTTCGTTGCTGGGCCACATGCACTACTCTGCTTCGCTCCTCTGTCTGCACGCACGTTTGGTAGAAAAAGTGCTTCATTTACGAATCAATACAGCGAAATAAAAATAATTTACAAGTTATTTAGCAGATTACGTTATTCTACGGTAAATAGTTCAGCCGAATTCTCTGGTTCTACTGGCCAGTCTAATGCAATGGGATCTAATTTCATGTTGACTACGTCCGCAGATTTGAGGGCCAAGATGGCTTGTTCGTAGGCTCCATTCTCTGCATGCAATTGGTCTGACCTTGCTTTCGCAAACTGGGCACTTCGAAGAGCACTCCGCATGCTACATCTTCGGCTTTTGTTGTATTATGACATGTATTCACCCAATTTTGTTTGAGGTGATAAAGGACTTGTAGAAGAAGAATTTTTCTACAATGATGTAAGTTAAGCTGACGTTTCAATTGAATTTCCGGTTGACTGATTTCATATTTCGAATTAAGTATTGTTTTCATGACTACCAGTAAATCAGTAATATGAGATGTATTCACCCAATTTCGTTTAGGGTGATTTAGGACTGGTAGAAGAAGAATTTTCCCACAATGATATGAGTTAAACTGATGTTTCCATTGACTTTCCGGTTAACTGATTTCACTTTTCGAATTAAGTATTGTTTTCGTGACTACCAGTTAATCAGTAATATGATATGTATTCACCCAATTTCGTTTAAGGTGAAATAGGACTGGTAGAAGAACAATTTTCCCACAATCATATGAGTTAAGCTGACGTTTCGATTGAATTTCCGGTTGACTGATTTCATTTTTCGAATTAAATATTGTTTTCGTGACTACCAGTTAATCAGTAATATGAGATGTATTCACCCAATTTCGTTTGAGGTGATGTAGGACGTTTCCATTAAATTTCACATAGTCTTGCTTTCACTAAAGTTGTTCTCATCCAGGATGTGAAATTCAATGGAAACATCAGCTCAACTCATATCATTGTGGCAAAATTCTTCTTCTACCAGTCCTTCATCAACTTGAACAGAATTGGGTGAATAAATCGTATATTACTGATTTACTGGTAGTCACAAAAACAATACTTAATTAGAAAAATTTTGTTGTATTGTCTTCATACAATGTCGGAACGCTGATTGGGTACATGTTGAGATGCTTTTATGGCATCGTCAGTGCGAATTGCAACGCTTCCAAATGGCAAGTTGTGGCAGTCATCTTGACATATTTTTCATTCAACCACTCTTGCAGCCGTACTTCTCTCTGTTCTGGCTCACGCCGTTGTAAGATGAGGCTAGCGTACATATTTATTCTTCATACTCTCGCGGCCAGTCGTGTGACGGCGTCTTTTGGTTTGATGGACACAGTGGCCGAGGTCGAGAGCGTACTATCAACCATTTGGAGAATACTGGGATCTGCCAAAACAGTAGGGACCAGCTGGCATTAGTTGATTGAAGTGTATGGTTGAGACGAGGTACC